ATGCAACATAAATATTTAAATTAATAGAATATTATGTTACAATATGATTTTAAATGTCATGATTTTTATCAATTATTGAAAAAAAATGTTTGTTACACATATATTATTATATAAAATGAAGAAGGAATATACATTATCTATAATTTCTATCGTTGTATTGACAAAAATTACATCTATCTATTTACAGTCGTGCTTGTTTTTGAAGAAGAACGAAATTTAACTATTAAGTCTTGAAACTCTTGAATAATTTAATTAATATTATTAGAACGAGCGGATTAGTAACTTGTATTTTTCAAAGAAAACGTATTTTATCTACTCTTAACGGTGGCAGATAATAACAATAATATGTAAATCGTCATTTTTTTTACCATCTTACAATAATCGTTTTGATGTCGTGAACGTCATATCAAAGACAGTTCAAAAGTTTAATACTCCTTGTCGACTAGAAAATAGTTAGAGACGTTCCGAAAAAAAAAAAGAATGAATAGTATTTAATTCCGGTCACGCATCGGAAAAATAAAATCACTGATCGCTCGCGCACGTGATGATTTACTTGCCCGAAGGACCAGCTATAAGCGGACTAGTCAAAAGCACGTCAAAACTCAAAAGCCACAACGAAAAACTTTTAATTTTGTTTCTAGTCCGAATTTCACGAAATCCCGGTTTTTGGAGATGAGTTCATCAGACGCCAACACATCATGGAATCATGGTCAACGGCCGATAACTGTCATTTGCTAAAAGCATAATATTAATGTAATATATTACCAGCTTTTATATTTTTTTACTCGTATAGAGAGAAGGTTATTGTACATATTATAGTTTTTGTTCGTTAGTAAATACTTTGTACACGTAAAATGTGAATTAATAGTATTAAGTAATAATATATATTGTAATTGATTTATAAGATTATACTTCTTGAAAAATGTTAATATAATATTTACAAACTCATGGAAAATATCATTGATAAGATCATAGTGAGTTTGAAAATCATAATCAATAATAAATATTTCAAAAAATTATTTAAATACGTTTTTAAGTAAAACAAATGATTTTATGACAGTTATCAACATAAAAATAAAAAGGTTTTTGTGTAATCTATATACTCGATATAACAATATTACAATACATATCACATATTACAATGTATATTATAAGCAAAATTCATTTTTAAAAAACAATTCAAAGAATACTTACACAAATCTAGGGTAGTATTTCATAGGCGATAAAACCGATGACTACAAAATCACGATTTTCATTGAATTTAATGAGTAGACAATAAAGATAGATTTCCCAAAAACCCGCTTATGACAAAACACATATACAAATATATAATTTGTACACTGTTACTGTTTTTAAAGAAATACCCATAAAATATATTTAAATTAAACCTTATTTTGTAGTACCATAGGTATTCAATTATTGGCTACATGCTGTTTGGATTTTATAAAAAAAGTATTAAAACTGTGACTGAAGAAGCTGCACGCTTCTACAAAAACTTTCACACCCGTCTCCAAACGCACCAAAACCCACTCATTAAAAACCTATCCATCCAAACCTTACCTGGTAACCCCAGGCGTGGTCTTAAAAGAAACTGGTGACGTGATTTACTAAATAATTAAAAAATAAAAAATAAAAAATAAAATAAATATATTTATATGTTAGTTAGATAATTTATTAAATTCCCAGTCAAGTGTCACTAGTGGGTGGCTTCTTACTTCAACTACTCGTGTTATTATAGCTCTTATCAAATATGCTTATTGTGCATCATTGTACAGATTTTATATAATATTATGTAAAATAAAAAATAAATAAATAAAAAAAGTTTATTTTACATGCATGATAAATTTTACGTGTGACATTCTTCCCTTTTAGAGATTTAATCTGTCTATTTAATTAGTATTGATGTTTATCACTCGATATTCGGTCGATATATTTTAGTATAAACAGATAGCTACAATCGATTTATCATCAATAATTAATCGATGTATTTTTTTTTTTTTTTTTAATGATATTTTAAACTTAAATTCATATTTCTTATTACATTGATATTTATGAATTGTATCACTGACAAAAAAAATAAATTATTAGGTATACATAATATATATTGACTAATTTGTATTTATTCAAGTTCATGTGATGATAAGCGTTAGTATATTAATAAAACAGTAGATTTAAGCAATATGTAAAATGTATACTTTAATTATTTATTTTGTACATTAATATAGCCATAACGTGAGAATAGTATCTAATATATGAAACACATTGTTTTTTGTTAATTTTCTGTACCCACATCAATTCTTTAGTCTTTAAATAAAATTGATTCATCGTAGTCACTTGATAGTTGTCATACTCAAAATTAGTTATACTAGTATAGTAGTATACATGCAGCATACAAAATATATACACTATTATTTTTATTATTTATTTAAAACGAATATTTATATATCACTAATAACGAGAATCAAATTAAAATACTAATAATGCAATAACTAGATCTCATCTGCAATATCTGCAATATTTAGTTAAAGTACGATAATCAATATTTGTTGATATTTATTTATATTACTATAGAATACATAAGGATACATTACCTACTTGAAAAATAGATATTATCGTTTTTTTTTCTTGTATTGATGAAGTGCACCCAAATAGTCGATATTTTCTTTCAATTTTAGAGAAACTACTAGGTAAAAAAAAAAAAAAAACTATACTGAGATGCAAGTTAGCAATCACTTGGTTATGGTCTTATTATATTTTTTTTTTTTTTTTATCAGGACTCGACTTACCTATTAAATAAAATCCTGGACGTAAGAACACCGGAAATATTATGCAAAACAGAGGTTTTTAAAAACGTGTTTTTTTTTAACATTTCATCCCTTTTACCATAATTTAATACGTATACACTACATGGTATATGAAATGTATATTATGTAAGCCAAATGTTAAACCTGTTCACTCCATGTGAATACGTTGTTAGGTAGTAGTGGTCATGGTAGTATAATAATTAGTAAAAATAGGTATTTGGGAGTAACAAGGGGTTAAAATAGGGACTCGGAAAATTATAGTAATAATAATTATCGAACGGCTTCCGTACACGCGTAACCATGCGGCTTTAAACAGTATAATATACTAATCGATTCATGAACAACAATAATAATAATAATAATCGGATACTGTTAAATTTGATCCGACAATACCGCATTTGTGTTATTATAATGAACTGTACAAGGGGGGATAGACTTATAGTTGCGTCCGATTTATAAACATGTAACTAAGATGATTCCATTACCTATATTGTTATTATACATATACATACAACGGTATAAATTGTACTAACGTTTAGCAACATTCTAGACACGTTTGGTGTGTAGAAACAAAAACAATCGTAGTCCGCAATGTTGAGCCGAAGAAGATAAAAATAATAACTTTTAAAAATTGGAGTTAAGATTCTATTACGGTACAATGAAATTGTATATTATAAATAATAACGTATTGTTTCTTCGAATAATATAACGATACAACAAAAATAAGGAATTAATCGATTCTACCAATAATTTTGTTTTGATAAAAGTAGGCATAAGGTTTATCGACTCGATCATATAGCTACTATTCATAGGTAAGTATTGCATAATCTACCTATAGAGTCTGCAGTCTTAAATTCATAAAAATAGAAGAAAATCAAAATAGTATACGTTTTGGACTGAACTTATATTTTATTAGATTTTCATATTAAAATAATTTGTTTTTATGATATAAGTCATAATGTTAAACAATATATTAGTATATAATATTATGTAATAATAAAATGTATAATTAATTTTAAATACCTATGTAATTATGATTTGTATGATACAAGTGCATTAATACAATGAGTTTGGAACATAATAGATTGGTAATATTATTAAGCATAATTTATTTAAAATATACCTATACATTATATGTATATTTTATATATATATATATATATTTAAAAATGATAATATAGGTCGATTGTTATACAACAAATTATACCAACATTTTTATAGTTTATAATTTATAATATTATTTGTATATTACATTTTTAATGCACAGTGGAATCAATATACGCCCAAACAATAATTGGTTTTTTTTTTCTTTGTAGAAAATACATACGAGTGCTAATAAAAAATTGACTGATAAAATACTTTTTTCGTTTGTAAAAAAATCGTCCTGTAAATAATAGATTTTAATATGTTGACGTATCGCCGTATAGTTACGAGTATTTATTCAAGGCGCGCAAAAGACCGATGAATCTCGTGTCTGGAAAACAATAATAGTCTAAATACTAAAATACATTTAAAAAAATGAAAAATACGACGATCGGTATTACCGCAATGTGCGGATTTATTTATTTATGTTTTTAATTTATATTGTAAGCGAAATAATACGAAATCAAATGTTTACAAGACGGTACAGATACTAATTTTGAAAATTAATCTGTTGGAGAGAAAAAAAAATGATTTTCGTTTTATTTTGTATTGTATGTGGAAAAGAGAGAAAAATGATTCAGTCGTGTTGTTTTCGACATAAAGAGGATATCACTGTTTTCCCCGTTAAGAGAGGCCATGATACGCTTTGTATAATATCAGAACTTCACATGCGCGCATCAGACTTAAGTAAACACGTTTCTTGTTAAGATTGAGTTACATTTCCATTATCAGTAGATCTCCTTGTCTCAACTGTATTTGTTTTTAACTTCTCGTGCTCGGCGACTGGTGTCGACAGTAGAAGTATTTGTTGGAGGAGTGTAGTGGTAGAGTACGAGGGCTGCTGTGAACTTAGAGAGTCATAATGCGATTTATTCGGTAGCAAATTTCAATTTTATACAAATAAAATCACTATATTATTATACAAATCCATAATAAATATTATTTCAGTATACAATTATTATAATTTTTTTTTTTTTTTTTTATAACATAAGTTATATTATTAATATTATTATTATTATTTTTTATTTTTTTTTTTTTAAGTCGGCTACAGTTGTTTTATTTATATAATATTATAGGATAATATATAAATATAAATGTTAGAAATATTTAATGAACGTTTATTTTATTCCGTATGCCCTTTTCTCGTCCACAGTCTTGGTCGACTGTTTTTTTACCATCAACCAATTGAAGATAATATTTTTTCTATGTGTTTTTCATTAATCCAATGTCACTTTCCCGGAATCATCACGTGGGATAGTTGTACACCCTGTAACAGTGACAAAAAATATATAAATAAAAATCATTACTACAATAAAATTATAAACACCGCAAAATGTGTTCGTGTGGTGTTGAAAAAATGTTTACAGTTGCACTTTTGCAACAACATTAGCTATAAGTTTATTGATTTAGAGTAAATTTTGTGCATAATAGGACATGGACAAATATAAGAATTTCAATATGCGTTCTCTATTATATCAAAATATATGTAGGAGGGAGATTTATCTATTTCGAGTCGGGTACATTTATTGCTGAAACAACGTTTTCTTGTTTTATTGGTTGTAAATTAATAATGTCTGCAAAAATAAACCACCTTGCGATTGTGAAATATGTGACAAAAAGGTCGATTATTTTAATAAGAACTTAATATATTTTGCCAAATTGAGAAATATTTAAATAAAAAAAGTTAACAATATATAACTGACATTTGGTAGTGCAAGATAATGTGCAAATAAAGTGTTTATATCGATGTAGACGATAACATAATACTTTTAGAATTTTGTACAATATCGTTTACACGTTAATAATTTTAACGACATTGGTATTATAGACGGGGTAACTGTCGAGTTCTGAAAAATTTTATCTTCGGTATGAATATTATATTATTAGACACACGCGTTATCGTACGCCAATATAATAATAATATAATAATAACAATAATGATAACAATACAAGCTGTCACTACGGATATCCGATAGTGTCCGCGAATTGAGTGTAATATAAGCATATTATTATACACATTGTACATTATAATAGAAATCGCGCATATTGTTTCATAAAATCGATACCTTTCAATCAAAATAGGAATTATACATAAATACAATACGAGTGACAAGTTCGTATTATATAATACCAATTTATACAAAATATTATACATTTACCATTTTAACATGTAAATTTCACTCGGGTAATAAATTGTATAAGAGAGAAAATAATTCAATTTATGAAACTTTTAAATTCTTAAATAGCTGAATAAAAAAAAAAAAAACACATAACATTTTTATAAATAATTACTCCTTTAGCTTAATAAATAACAAAGTAAATAGAAAAACTGTAGATTAAAAATTTTAGTAAATAATTAATTAAATTAAAAAAAAATAAAATAACAGAAAAAAAAAATCAGTTTTGAAAAAATTATGAATGTGGTTTCACTTAATAATTTATTTTGAGCAGGGATATTATTTTATTTTTTTTTACCGTGGTATAATATAATTTTTCCATATCTTGCCAACATTTTTTGACTATTGTAACTGATTTTGTTTTTAAATTTTATTGTTATATCAAGTAGGTAATTGATCAACTTACTTCTCTACCATTGTGAAAATTACCGTAGTAATAAAATATTAAGATAGTAATATTTTTTTTAGCGGTTTAACTATTTTAAGAGTGCATGAAACACTATATATTTGTTGATTAATAATGATATTATTCATAGCAGTTGACCGGCGTATTGTATGGGTGATTTAGGTGCACTGAAGTGTAGGAAAACAAATCTAATATGGGAATAATATTAATAATATTCATCACGACAATAATAACGTATAAACGACTGTGCAGCATATTTAGTGGTTTACTGGTGGTATATTGATATTTATACAGTAAACAAAATAAAATCCGTAATTTAAAATTATGCGACGACAACGGAGCAACTGTTTTAGTTACAATCAATTTAATTTTCTTAATATATTCGCCATTTTTTTTATTATACCTGATTCAATTCTTAGAATTAATATTATTGTTAAAAATTAATTTCTACGTTTAACTTATTTAATTACATACAACCTTAATAAATATTTTTATTGGATAGCAGCAGAAAGAGGTGTATGTGTACTGTCTAACTAAAAAAATAAATACTTGGTACCAGGACTAACATTGCGTGTATAATTGCACATTTCGTATAACAAAAAAAAAGTATGTTTTTATTTCAGGTACATAAAATGGCGTCATTGTAAATAAATAATTATTATTTTAGTCTTCGTAGCTTTATAATGAACTATATAACCGATTGTTTCCAGAATTGTGTCAACATGTAATTTTCAATGCAGTTACAATTTAATACTAAATTATAATATAGGTTTACACGAGTTCAAAAAACGATATTATAATTACATATATTTCAAATATTTTTTACTGTAAGAAGCATGCAAATTTAATATTAATTATTATGATATAATTGACAATAAAATACGATCATTTCAAGAACAAATGTTTATTGTTACAAACATACTTGAGCTGTTCTTGATGATTTACGATTTTCTTTGATATTTTATTTTGTAAATCGAGTATAACAATACAATACAATACAAGACGTGTTGCTGTGATGAAAACTTAACGCATATAAAATAGTTTCTAGCGTTGAGGATGAGATTTGCTTGCATTGTCATTGGTTAATTAAAAATCGTCTGTCTACCTGATGGGGAGGGGTGGTTTAGATTAAATAAGGATGCAAAAGACCGAATACTTTTTATAATTTGTCAAGACGACATTTAATGTGTTTCTCTTGCTACTTCCGAGAAATGTTTGCGTACTGAGGAGGTTACAATTTTCCATCTTATGTGCTTGAAAAATAAAAAATAAAAATGTGTTTTTCTTTTTTATTACACTATAATAGTTAATTTATATTATTTATTATAACATAAACACGTACCTAGTAATTGGTACCCGATATTTCTATAATAATATACACTATTTGTTGAAAAAATAAACAAACCCATTTTTCTCTTTTATACTTAAAAACGATGCAAATTATAAGAAAAAAATAATAGCGTTTTTAATCATGCTTTTGCTGTCGAAAGAGAATTATCGTTGACAATAAATTATCAAACAGCCCATAGTTAATTAATGTTAAATAATTTATAATATCGGACATTTTAAAAGATTAAATCAGTACTTAGAATGTATACATAATACATATAATGTACATCATGCATTAATTGGTTAGCTTGACAAAAAATAATAATTATAAATTGATTTGATAAAGAACGAGGATTTGAATCATCTTTTCATACTTAGAAGTATTCCTTTGTACATCATACTACTGACATTACTTTGTATTAGAAAACTGCGATAATTAAATCACTTCCTTGCGGTCAACCAATTTTCTAACCTTTCATCGCGGATTTATTTCGTCTATCCGCAGCAGTGGGTACGCATTGCGACGAAATTACACAGACGCAATGGACGGGCATAGGCTACCACATCATGACGATCTATATAAAATGCGCCGCGCACACAGGAATATTGATTTTGTAATAATATTACTAAAGTATGAGACAATTTTACGGCAGAAATAAAATTATATTTACGAAAAATCTCGGATTTCCACTATTATACAAAGGAAGGGCGCATTTATAAATATTAATATCTTCTACATAAATTTTAGAATTTCTTATCACTTGAAACTCTTCAGTGTATGTATTTGCTCAAGATAGTAAATTCAATTTACAGCAACTAAACTACGAGTATATATATATATATTTTGAATAGTTAATGAAAAAAAAAAAAAAACCACTAAGGTATTCGTACTATTTTATAGAGTATAATAGGTTTTGAGTGTATAATATTGAATTCAGGTCGCTGTAACAGATGTGTAAAGTTTAAATATTTTTGAATGAGAAAAACGATTCTGATTAGAAACATTTGTATTATTTGTATTAATCTCAATTTCTAAAAAATAAATATATTTTATAATTTATTTATATGACTATCAAAATAATTTATTTTTATTTTAGTTACAATTTAGTATAGTATTTTTAACTATTCTTCCCCAAAAACATCATATAACATATAGTTATAGCTATGATATAATATATTATAGTTATTAGTTATACCATATTGCTAATTATTATAAAATGACTAAAAAATTGGTTATATAAATTTATAAGTTAATATCATATACCAAGGAACAACAAAAATAGGTTTGTTGTATGAAAATAGCTTAAGTAGCTTAAAATTAGTCTAAATATTAGTTAAAAATTGATTAAGTATAAAGCATAATATTAAACGCAGTAGTGAATAGTTTAAAGCTCTTTTGATTATTGCTTTTTAAATAAATAAGATTGTTAAGGAGAAATTGTTATATTCAAATTTTATAACTAAATTTAAATATTATTCAAAAATTTAAGCCCAAATTTTATATTTTTATTTTTGTATGTGTTTTATTAAATGGTTGGTGTTTTATACGACATTCGATATAACAATGTAATAGCTATTAATAGATCTATTTTTTTAATAAATATGTGTACTATGTGTTATTGTGTTGTTAATAATAAAATAATTTATGTTACTATTACTCTTATATTATATAAGATTATCGATGATTGTGAATGGATTAACAGTATACATTATATTTTATTTTTTCTGCACAATTATTTAGACCAAAATAGTACCGCCAGACTGTACTCATCCTGTTTTTCATTGAGATTAATACCAAAATCACTAAAATTACTATTTACAACTTACAAGTTAAAATATGTGACATATAATAAGGGTAATTATAGTTAGTTTAACTGGGTTATATTTTGAGAAATATATGTTATTTTCTAATCTTTATGAGATTATTATATTTTAAGTTTTCTTTTGTTGTCTGTGGTATATATTCTTAAAATTGAAAGAAATTAAATATATTTTATATATTTCTAATGGTGTTACGCAGTTTACGATAAAAGAATCATAGTGTACACAGTATATCTTTGAGGGCAAAGTATACAAAAAAAGCTTGATGGGGTGGTTTATAACGATATAGCTCATACGGCTTCGTTGATGTTATTTAGGGGGGGCATTGTTTCCGTATGTACATATGATATAATATATACTTCGACCACTTACAAGACTTTTCACTTAGCCCGCTTTTGGTGTAGTCTATACAAACACGCATTTCAGATTTCAGCGTTATAGCACCGTCGCTGCATATTATACATGTATCCGCTACCATGTATTTAGAACTTTTCACGCGAGTTGTAGGCCGGATGTAGTATATAGGGTGGTATA